CATCTGTTCCACACAGCAAGCCATTTGAAGTCACTAGAAAATCTGGCCTCCACAGTACATATCATCTTCACAGCGCCATGGAAAACATTTGTAGTAAAGGCTTGTGGCAGAGACAAATCAAAAACTGGAAGCAGAGCTGTATGACAAAACTATAGAGAGAAATGCTCCATTGTGTAGAGCAGCTGCACATGGAGGGTGCTTCTTTTCTTTCAAATACCTCTTTTGCATTTGGTGCCTTTGGAGATCCCACCTTGAATCAGCATTGCTTACCACTGGCAATGCTGTGTGGAAGTGTTCTATTGTCCTATGTAGTAGCATACTATCCCATACTTCTCCCATTAGAACAGTGGTTCTCAACCTTCCTAATGCCACGACCTCTTAATACAGTTCCTCATGTTGTGGTGACCCCCAACCATGGCATTATTTTTGTTGCTTCTTCATAATTGTAATTTTGCTACTGTTATGAATTATAACATAAATATTTGATATATAGGATATATTTTCCCTCACTGGACTAAATTTGACACAAATACCCAACACACCCAAATTTTAATACTGGTGGGGCGGGGTGGATAATTGATTTTGTCATTTTAGCGTTGCAGTTGCTGGGATTTATAGTTCACCTGCAATCAAAGAACATTCTTAACTCCACCAACAATGTAATTGAACCAAACTTGGCACACCGAACTCCTATGACCAAGAGAAAATACTGGACGAGTCTTGTGGACATTGACCTTGAGTTTTGGCGTTGTAGTTCATCTACATCCAGAGAGCACTGTGGACTCAAACAATGATGGATCTGGACCAAACTTGGCACAAATACTTAATATTCCTAAATGTGAACATTGGTGGAGTTGGGTGGAAATAGACCATGACATTTGGGAGTTGTAGTTGCTGAGATTTATTGTTCATCTACAATCAAAGAGCATTCTGAATACCACCAACAAGAGAATTGGACCAAACTTCCCATACAGAACCTCCATGACCAACAGAAAACACTGTGTTTTCTGATGGTCTTTGGCAACCCCTCTGACACCCTCTCGTGAATTCCTCCAGGGGTCCCGACCCCCAGGTTGAGAAACTGCGCTAGAAAGTTCTGGCATCTGGTTAGTTACTTTAATAAATGCAGCTCAAATATGTTTAAATCCCATTTTGGATGGGGTTCATTTGGATGTTAAGAAGCATCAATGCTAGTATAGAGCAAGAGGGAGCTTGAAGGCATGCTTGCCCTTTGCTCTCACCTCTCCGTTTCTTCTTTGATCTACGTACTCCAGCATTTGGTTATTTTCTGCCTGTAAAAGTCACTCTCACCTTCTCCCAAAGTTAAGTACAGGCAGTCCCCAGTTTATAAACATCCGACTTACAAATGACTCATAGTTAAGAACGGGAGTGAGACCACAGGAAGTGAGATAAATCTACTCCTCAGAAGGGAAATTTGCTACTGAAAGAGTTATCATGGGAAAAGGTTTTTCCAATGAAGCTTTATCTCCAATCCTTGTTTCCACAACAAGTCAAATTATACTTAGATGTTTAAAATTTAATTAATCCCTCTATGAGAAATAAAAAAGTAATTTTTAAGGACACTACCCAAGATATTTAAAAACAACATGACACATATTCATAGATTTTGTTTGGTTGTTCGGTTAATTTGATAGTTTTTCTTCTGTAGAAAAGCAAAATTCATTCCAAGTTGGCACCAACTTTTTATTGGCTGAGTTGGTATAAAACAGAAATGATTCACTAAATCTGTGATCTAGCTAAGAAAATTATTTCAGCTTCACAAAAATTATTGTTGCTATGGGAACAGTGAATTGGGGCTTGTGTTGTTTGTGCTCCTGAAGAGAATACAAATTTGTGAGAAAATTGTATATTTTTAGGGAAATGGAAAACAATATCAAAGGAAGTTGATTTAGTGATTCAAAGTGGTCTCAGTGTTGCCACTTTAAAAACACTTCGACACAGTTCTGTACTTATCTATCTGCGGTAAAACAATGAATGCAGAAAGATTTAAGACAGAATAGACTTGTGTAGAATTATTATATTCCATTGTTTTCCTACTGAAGTTATTTAGGCTTTAAAAGACCTCAACTCTAAGTGGATTTTGCTCCGTTCCACTTTTAAAGTAATTTTGTTGTTGTTGCTGAACATCTCTGATGTTCTGCCCAACTACCAATCCCAGGATTCTGTAGGATGAAGCCACAATGGGTAAAATGCCCCCAGCACCCTATAACTGTATAGTGTGAGAAAGTTCTACCTGGAGATAAACTGTTACCAATGGTACTATGGATTTTGAAGAGACATGAATAGATATCGCATCTTCCCCTACAAACCAGCACGCACCTTAAGATCATCTGGGGAGGCTCTGCTCTGCTCCCGTCTCAAACGTGGGTGGTGGGAATGAGGGAGAGAGCCTTCTCAGTGGTGGCCCCTTGGCTCTGGAACTCTCTGCCTAAGGGAATCAGATTGGCACCTACCCTATCCATTATCTGCAAGGACCTAAAAACCTGGATGTTCCGTTGTGCATTTGATTAGGCAGTTCACTAGAGAATTGGATCAATCTCGCCATATCTCTTGCACTTTTGCTGGCCCTCCCACCTGTAATCCTGTTACTGTAAATGCCTAATGGACATTATCCACCCAGATGTAACCTTAATGGAAATTGAAGCATATCTTGCACTTTCCCTTGGTTCTTTCTAGGAATGATTGCATATTCTCTGATCTCTCTGCACTCAGCACTTCATCTCTCAGCTGTGATACTGTTTTTAAAATGTGTTTTGTGGTAATGTTTTTCTGATGCTTGCTATTGATTTTAGTAGTTTTATTGAATTTTGTGTGTGTTGTAATTTGTATTTTTGGGATCGTCCCTTGTAAGCTGCCCCGAGTCTCCCCGGGGAGATGCTGGCAGGGTATAAAAATAAAGTTGTTGTTGTTATTATTAATAATAATATTAATATTAATAGAGGGAGAAAGGGAGAAGCATGCCAAGAGGAAGGCACATCAAGCAAACCCTTGTTGTGGCTGCCTTCCACCTTATTGTGAAAGACCCTGCAGATCCAGAATAGATTTCCAGTCACTTACTTTTGACCTACTGCTAAGACAATCATATTTGGCTATGAGGGATCATCTATATAGTATAATGTGAAAAAAACCTTAGAGCTTTTGTTTTGACAAGAAACACAACAGAAAAAAGGCAGCGGGTATACACAGGAGATGAAACATGCAATGAAGAACCCTACCCAAGGCAAGAGTATGGCCACCTTATATATCCAGAGCAGTTTGATAATACTTCGGCTTTGCTCCATTCAACAGAATCTTGGGATTTGTAGTATGATTGGAATGCTCTGCTATTCTCCTGGAGTACAATACCAGAGTGCTCTAGCAGAAAATTCTAAGTACTTTACCAAACAATAAACCACAAATTTCCATAGAATGGACTCATAGTGGTTCAAGTGGCATTAAATTGCTAAAACTGTGTTGTGTGTATTTGTTGTTGTGGGCCTTCAGGTTGCTTCCAACCTTTGGTAAACCTATCACAGAGTTTCTTGATAATATCACTTCAGATAGCGCAATGGATTAAACCCTTGTGCCACTAGGACTGAAGACCAACAGGTCAGAGGTTTGAATTTGGGGAGAGCGTGGATGAGCTCCCTCTGTCAGCTACACCTCCCCATGCAGGGAAGCCTCCCACAAGGATGGTAAAAACATCAAAACATCTGGGCATCCCCTGGGCAACGTCCTTGCAGATGGCCAATTCTCTCACACCAGAAGTTTATCAAGTGACTCCTGATACGAAAAAAAAAATCTGTTTAGAAGAGATTTGCTCCCCAAATGTGGCTTTTATTTTCAGTGAAACACTCCAGTCACTTTTAAAAGTTTACAGCCGTTAGTTGTTTCTCATGAGAATAATCTATTAAATCATTAGGATTTCTGACAGTTATTATTGCTTGGATTTGAATTTTAAACATTCTCTAACCTTTCCTTTGTATTCTTTCTGTCAAAGTTGAATTATTATTCTGATTATTCTGTTACAGATTATATTAATGTAAAATCAAGCCATTGGCTTGTGCTTTTGTTGTATCTCTAACCTTACAAAGTATTAGCCAATGGTGACTTTTTAAAGAAATGATTCATTTGCATAGGACAGAGCTAAGACATTCCTAAATATAAAAACGTTATTGTTCTTAAGGCAGCTGACAAAACTGCTGTAATTTTTTCCTACTACATTAGAGATACCAAGGCTAAATATTTTGTCACCAAATAGACATTTGTGGAGTAGGACACATTGCACAATTAGTATCAAACTAATGCAGTACTATCTAATATTAGCCAGTGATATTTTGTAATAAGTATTTCTAATGGAAGTTCCAGAATTTGTATATCGTGACAAATATTTCTTTACTGCAAAGTGCTGTGCACTTTTACTGGGAATAAACATGCAAGTGATTATTAATCATTTTTGTTTATGGAAATTGTCTACACTTAGAAATACAATTTTCAGAGGATAAATGTGTGTTACTGAATGGAAGGTATGTTCAAATTCTGTTTGAAGAACTGACCATCACTTTATAGCCATCTAGGAAACATCTTTGGGAGTTGCTTTGTTGGCAAAATACAACAAAACACAGAATACACGAAGCAGTAATACCTTTATTGGGGCAATGTAAAGCATAAAATGTATTATGCTAAGTTTGAAATTTCATTGGCTTCTTCATCAGGCAAAGATGTATGCAAATCATACAGATGTAGATTATATTGATAATGCAGAAAGAAGTCATTCTCCTCCATGGCCATGTGAGGAATAGGGACAAAGAGCAATAAAAACAAAGTGATAAAATTTCATCAAAATGAGAAAAATAACTTCTTTTGAGATTCAGCTCTTCCTGTCCTGTGCGGAGATAACAGTTTTGTTTTTTATAATCTGTGTACACTGTATCATATACATTTCAAAAACCTTGATTTCAAAAACCTTGATTGCTTTATTTTTGTCTTGCTTTATCTAGGAAACTTCGTGGTCTTGTGGTCAACGTGCAAGATGTCCATTTTTAAGTCGGTAACAAACCGCTTTATTAAAAACTTGGCCTGCTCCGGCATCTGTGCCAGCCTGGTCTGTGTGCCTTTTGATATTGTCCTTAGTGCTAGTCCACACTGCTGTTGGTGGATCTACACTATGGTCTTCTGTAAGATCATCAAGTTCCTGCACAAAGTTTTCTGCTCAGTGACCATCCTTAGCTTTCCTGCCATTGCTCTGGATAGGTAAGTTATTGCAGTTTCTCATGTGCCAATAGTTGTTAACTTTTGGTGGATTTGGACCTCTTTCAGAATCTGATCATGGTACATTACATAAACATGTGCACTAGTATATCATGTAACTCTACACTTACTTGTAGTGATTCAACATCTGGTTCAAAAAGGAGTCCCTGAAGGCATAATGGGTTCAACCCTTGTGCCAGTAGGACTGCTGACTGTCAGGTCGGTGGTTTGAATCTGGGGAGAGTGGGTTGAGCTCCCTCTGTTAGCTCCAGCTACTATGCAAGGACATGAGAGAAGCCTCCCACAAGGATGGTAAAACATATAAATAAAGTGGATTATTACTACTACTACTACTACTACTACTACTACTATTATTATTATGGTATCACCACTAGATCCAGTTATTTGTCACCCAGATTTAATTAATCTGTGAAATGAGCAGGAAGTAGACAAAGTCCCCATTGTAATCTGCATATTGTATTTATATATCTCTTACAGATATTTTGTTTTCTTTTTTTTTGACAGGTACTATTCAGTGTTATACCCACTGGAAAGAAAAATATCAGATGCTAAATCTCGTGACGTGGTGATTTACATCTGGGCTCATGCCGTGGTGGCCAGCATTCCCGTATTTGCTGTGACCAGTGTGTCAGATATTTATGCTATGTCCACCTGTACTGAACCCTGGAGCTATTCCATTGGCCATTTAATATATGTCATCATTTACAACATTAGCACTGTGATTTTGCCAGTAGCCATGGTGTTTCTCTTTATGATCCTCATTCGCAGAGCACTGAGTGCTAGCCAAAAGAAAAAAGTCATCATAGCTGCCTTAAGAACCCCACAAAATACAATTTCTATTCCTTATGCCTCTCAGAGAGAATCTGAACTCCATGCCATGCTGCTGTCTATGGTTATGGTTTTTATTTTCTGCAGTGTCCCTTATATGACGTTGGTGATTTACCGCACTATATTCGATGCCTCTGACACTTCTGTCTATTTGCTCCTCACTGCCATCTGGCTGCCCAAGATATCACTGTTAACCAATCCTCTGCTCTTCCTGACTGTTAACAAATCTGTACGTAAGTGTTTGGTGGGGACGATTGTGCAGTTACAACGCAGGTACAGCCGGAGAAACATTGTCAGCTCTGGAGCTGTAGTGGATGCCAACCTGGAGCCACATGTCCGTTCTGGTAGCCAGCTGTTGGAGATGTTTTACATTGGGCAGCAGCAAATTTTCAAGCCCACAGAGGACGAAGAAGAGAATGAGACTAAATCCATTGGCTCCAGCAATTACCAGCAGAAAGAAATCCCAACCACTAGCTTAGAGGTAGAACACACTGTAGTTCAGAAGCCTGTCCCCCATGCAGTCGCAGATTCCGCTGCACAGGTGGCACCAGCGATGCCAACAGAAAGTGAAATGGCCAATGAGAAGTACTCCATGCAACTTGGCTTTGGGCCCTTCGAGCTGCCTCCACAGTGGTTGTCAGAAAACCAGAACAGTAAGAAACGACTTCTGCCCCCTTTGGGAAATACTCCAGAGGAGCTCATCCAGACCAAGCAGTCCAAGTGTAAAGCAGAAAGAAAAATGAGCAGGAACAATAAAGTCAGCATCTTCCCCAAGGTGGATTCCTAGAGGGAGATCTCTATGAGATGAGACTGCAGTGCATTCTCACATACAAGTGATCCTATGGATCTTTGTTAAGATGAAATGATCTTAATTTTTTTGGTGCCAATGTATGTGAAAACAACATCAAATGATTTGTGTTTCAATACAACTATCAAATCTTTATCTGCATTTATCATCTCTTTCCTTATATCTAAGGCTAGACTCCATTCAACTTCTAAAGAGGCATTTTGGAGCTTTCCTGTCTCAAAGGTTGCTTCTTTCCTCTCTTTGTTTTGTTAAAATCTTTCAGACTGGTCAAACACCGCAAATGTGTACACATGCAGAGAAACATTATGGTATCTGCTGTACAGTTACAGAGTTCTAGGGAAAGGTAATCAATAAATATGCAGATCTCTTCCTTGGAGATCCATAACTCTTTCTATTTGTACACACAAAGCACTGAGTATTTGTCAGATAAGTAGGCAAACTGCAGACCTCCAGATGTTTTTGGACTACTATGCCCTCTACTTGCCAATATAGCCAGTGATCAAGAGTTCTGGAAATGACACTCAACAGTTAACAACATCTAGAAGAGTATATCTTGTCCAGTCTTGCTTTAGGAGAACCATAAAACTTGTCAGTTTGTGATGTCTTCTAGTGGCCAGAACTAAACAAACACAGGACACATTGATAAATCAATTTTTTAAAGATCTCCTTTTATTTAATCACCTTAAAATACCCCATCCCAGAAAAAATTCAATAAATAAGTAATGAATAAGGACATAAGTAGTTGAATCTGCCTCATGCTGTTGAAACACTTGTGGGCTAAAAATATATGCATATAAAGCCCTAAAATACCGTGTTTATGGAATATTTTCATCTGGAGGTTGACAATTTAGTAGGCTCAATGGGGCAAAAATGATCAGTAGAGCAACAACAACTAGGAGATAAAATACATACAAAGTAACTTTTCCTTCCAGACAGTGCTACCTAAGAGACAACAGTTTTGGTTTCGATAAAGCATGGATATATGACACCTAACTTAAATGCTATGACCACTGTGTCAAAAAGAACCCAATCCTTGGTATAAAATATTTTCTGAGAGATTCCTGTGATTGTTGCCTGGTTTTCAATTTGTCTATAAAATCATGAAATCACTGAGAGTTTTTAGCAGTTGGCTTCTAAGGGTTGGTATCACTTTGTACTATGTGATGAATGAACAAATCTAGTGTGGATATGATTTGTAATCTAAATTTTTGTGTTTAAATCAAGGATGCATGGAAATTATGCAAAACAGAATATGGAAGGACAGAAGAAACCCCTTAATAATAATTGCTTTGTTTTATAAAAACTATTTTCTAAAATTTTTAAAAGGATACGAGTGGGGAAGATTCTGTTTTCCTTTTCAAAGACCAAATTAACCTGGATAAAATATGTGATATAATTTCTCTACTGAAAGATGCAGAACTGTGCAGTGTGGTGGCCTTGAGCAGAGTCACTGTGAAGACAAAAACAGTTTAATATATATCACAGGGATAAGGAATTTGTGACTCTCCAGATCTTATTGGTCCCAGATATACTCCCAATGGATGGGGGTGATAGAAATTGTGGTCCACCATCTGGAGGGGCTCAGGTTACTTTCTACAACCTACAGCGTATAAACAAGTAGCATATTATAAATACGCCACCTCTAATTAATACATGTAAATCATTCCCAATTATTTATGGTAATCAAGCTTCAAGGCATAATACACTTTCCAAATGGAAGTGTGCTACCATAAGTAGTTTAGGAATTTCTACTTTGCTGTCGAATTCAAAGACATAACTGTATTAGTCTGAATCGGTATGCAAAGGGATCTTGGAGCACCTTTGAGATTAAGAACTTTATCACACGAGGCATGAAAACTGGCATTGCAGCTCAAGTGTAGGATGCACTTGGCATCATGTGTATCTCACTACCAGTTTGCTTCCCTCCCTCCAGCCCACCCCATGATCCCTAGCTGTTGATACTGTGTTCCAGACACCTACTGTAGCGCAATGGGTTCTTTTTTGCTTCTGTGCTGGCATGCTGGCAGACACATGACTTCAGTGGCCAGAATTCTCCTCTCCCTAACTATTCCCAGGGTGGTTGAAAGGCATGTAGCCGGGGGGGGGGGGGCCTTCACCCCTCCCCCCAAATTCTGATGGTGGTCCGCAAGAAGACCTTACTGGTGCATTATTTAAACTGCTATGTTTATTCATATCATGATCTGATCACTATACTCAATATATCCCATATGCATGGGGGTATTGGGGTAACGATACAAAAGGTTTGCTAGGGTAGACCTTCTTTCACTCAGACTCGACCCCCCCCCTCCCCGAAACAAAATCCTGGCTACGGGCCTGGTGGTTGATTTACTTTAATATGCAGAATATTTCAAAATGATGGATCCAATTTCGAAGCAGTGCTTTCTCTCTTATATAAACAGCCTTTTTTCTCCAAATTGTTGGTACCAAGGATGAATGCTCTTTGGCATTGGTGGATCAAATCTAAAATGCCGTGGAGACGCACATTACAACCCAATTATAGATTCATTTTTGCTAAACTGCAGAACACAAAACACCTGTTGTGGGGTTGCCAATTTGCAAATGACTGAGCCTAGGGGCAGTTTGTGCACTGGGAGAGACATCTAGCAGTAATCACTTAGAAATTAAATCCCCACCCTTTCAAATGGTAAGAGTTTTATTCATGGGTGGTTCATGGTTGCAGAGAAATGCCAATTTCAAATTGAGTCTGTCTTTTTGAAATAGCCTGTATATTTATTTAATGCTAGCACTATACAATTGCACTAAAATAATTTTTAAAATTATGAATCAGCTGCAAGGCATGCTCATTCATAATGCCGAGTAGGGAATGGTGCAGGAGAGCAGAGTTATGAAGGTGTGTGGAAGACTGATAAAGTCCAAAATGATGTGATAAAGTCCAAATTGAGAGAAAAAAGTTAATAGCATAAACTTTATTAGACTTAAGTAGCCTGTGTATGATAAAGTAAACTCTAAGAAAGCTTATGCTACCAACTTCTTTCTCTCAATCTCAACGTTTCTACAAGATCCCATTGCATACTTTTCAGTAGCTTATCTTCTTCCCTCATATATGTCATGGATGTGGCTTATTAATTGTTGTTGTTGTTGTGTGCCTTCCGGTCATTTCCAATTTATGGTGACCCGAAGGCAAACCTATAATGGGTTTGTCAAATTACTGCACTTTATATCAACCAGGAGTCTTGTTTGTGTTCCCCCACTTATTCATGTGCAAGCACTTGCTTTCTTTTCCAAAAACGTGGCCACTGTATTTCTCGAAAAAGCACAGCTTTTCATCCTCCCACTTTTGAGTAGTTTTTTTGTGTGCCTGTTGAGTCACACTGGCTCCGAGACTGCCTTTTTTTACTATTGCACTTTTCCTTTTCAAAAGTTTTTTTCCCCTTGAGATCAAACAACTTTGCCGTGTTTACAATAAACAGTGATATTAGAACAACATAATTTTTAAAGCAAGAAAAAAAATCAGCCTAAGCAGTGCTTATGGGACAGAGGCATTCTTTCTTTAAGGATTTCTAAAGCTTCAGAGGAATTTAGCAATTCTAAGGGAAATACCAGTTATTTCTACATGTTACTGATAACAAACTTTGCAATAAAACATGTCGTTTATTACTACTGTGTCAAGTGTCATTCCTTTGAAGTTATAAATCAGAACAGACAAAATACACAATAATTCGGAACATGACCAATATTCTTACAATTGCCTCAGTATTTTCATTTTTAATACATTTGACATATTTGCTTTGACTAAATGACTAGAAGTTTTGTTTTTATCATGTAAAATCTCTGATGGCACAAAGCCTAATTGCTCCTTACACTGCTTTGTGATTAGGCTATTGGCAATCTCTGCTGTGCTGGATCCCTAAGGATCCAATCCGTGGGCTCCTTCACTCACTCTGCACTTTTCCTCCACTTAATCCCTTTCTGCATTGGGAACTTGGACCTTAGGGTGATCCCTATGTGGGCCAGTGGATGTGTTGTTTGGTGGACTTGTTGTGGTAAGCCATAGACAATGGTCAAACAAGCAAACAAGTGGAAGATTATTAAGACACCAAAAGCAACATGTTAAGCCCTGAACAATATATTCATTCACAACCCCCCCCAAAATTAGAGTTATCTTTCTCCTCTGACTATTATGTCCCTGTTACAGGCCTACCCCTCTCTCTGCTCTGAAGTCAAAACCCTATCTCAGTGAAAACTCAACCTTACCTGTCTCAGTTTTCCTCTATCTAGCCTCTGATTTGTAACATTTTCCCCCATAGCCAGGCTTTCCCAGCTTGTCCACACCAGCCTATCAGAATCCAATTCTCTTTTATGATGCGTATTCCGTCTTCTAAGTGAAGGCAGGTCACTAGAGGAAGATTCTCTTCCAGCACATATCCTTTGCTCTGCTGGAATACTTCTTTCTCTCTCTGCCCCCAGTTTAGTATCAATTATATTAGATCTTTCTAATTTTTCTTATGGCGGCACTTTCTCTGAGGTCATTTGCACTGAGATTTGTTTCCTCTCACTTTTCCCTCAGGATTTTGATTATTTCTCTCCTTTAAAAAAAAAGCACCATGCCAGATTATAGGAAGTGGTTTTAAATAACACCAATCTTTTCCCAAGCCTCTGCATTGGCAATCTGGGGAAACTGACATTTTGCCTCCTCCCAGACACAACATCATCATTTTATTTTTAAGCGGGCAACAGGGATTAACATCACATGGGGAAAGTGGCCATTTAACCCATCTGTATGAAGGGCACAGTGGGTTTAACAAGGAGGAAATATTATTATGAGCTTGGCGTCATAGTGAATGAAGTGACAGCACCCTTCTGTGGCCAGAATCGAGCATAACCTCCAGGCACCGAAGTTGGAAAAATGCCGAAATATCTCTGTCTGTCTGTCTGTCTGTTTTGTATGTCTAAAAATGGCCATTTAACCCACCTTGCGTCATGTGAAGGGCATAGTGGGTTGCCGTTTCTTAAATGTGTGGAATCACTGATTTTACTGCATGGGATGAAATCATCCATCCTAACCTGTTTTCTTTCTCACTGAGTTTTATTTCTCATTTCAACATATGAAATCCACATGCGACCAAACATCACCACAGTATGGTTATGAGGGGAAAAGTTATTAATAAGGAGGAAAAGACAAGTTAGGAGAGGTTGCAGGAATTTGTTGTTATATGAGCCTTCTGGGAAGACAAAAATTCACTCCTCCTCTCTGTGCTAGTAAGTTGACTGGAAATTAGTTTTGCACTTTGAACTCAGTTTGCCCAGTTGAGGATGAAGTGAGGGAAGTAGTACATTTAAAAAACCCTAGAAAACTGGGATGACAGACAATTAATCATTTTGTCCTCACAGGACACTACTTTTGCTACCTTGCACATTCCAATGTTGTCCAACTACACGTGTCTATTTCCTGATGGCAGAGGATTAATTGGTATTATCTCTGCAAAACAGGGTAGATGGATGGTATGGATCGATTCAATACTTAACTTGCATGGTTTGGGGGGGGGGATGTATGTGTCTTCAACCCATCACTAACTTATGGAGAACCAAAGCCAACCCTATCAATCAATGGGACTTTCTTGGCAAGATTTCTTTAACAGTGCTTGCCCACTATCATCCTCAATCCAACGAGTGTGACTTGCCCAAAGTGATCCAGTGGGTTTCCATGGCTTAGCAGGGATTTCAACCCTGGTCTCCTGGAGTCCTGCTTCAACATTCAAACTATCACACCATTCTAGATCATCCAACCCATCACTAACTTATAGAGAACCAAAGTCAACCCTATCAATCAACGGGGCTTTCTTGGCAAGATTTCTTCAGCAGTGCTTGCCCACTATCATCCTCAATCCAACAAGTGTGACTTGCCCAAAGTGATCCAGTGGGTTTCCATGGCTTAGCAGGGGTTTCAACCCTGGTCTCCTGCTTCAACATTAAAACTATCACACCATTCTAGATTATTCAAAACATAACTACTTGCATAGATGTACTGGATCCTTTAGTAGCAGTGTTATCAACTGAGCAGCCATAAAGAAAGTTTAGGATGACAAGTCTATTCTCCTCTTTTCACCCAGTCATGGTTGTCACACAGCACTAATTTTAAAGTTTGCCTTTCCTACCCACCCATAGAAAATTACTGGGTGACAAGTGCCACTTTTAGAATAACCTATCAGAAATAAATATCAAAAGCTGGAATATACAAAAGCCCTGCCGAGATGCAAAAACTAGCAATACAATCAGACTAAGTGGCATACTGTTAAGGCAAGAATGTAATGTTCATGTGAACTGTTGGAAACAGAAGAGAATAATGGATGCTGGCAACCAAACTCATGTCGGGAGAAATTTCAGTGATTTAATTGTTTTCAGGGAGAGTCAGGCTACAGGAACAGCAGAGGGGGCTGGATCTGGTTTTTAAAATCATGCGGAGATTAGCATTAATTATTTCCAATTTACTCTAATTGGCATGGTATTCTGAAATGACTTCAAAGCATTCTAGCTGAAGAAAATCAGTTAGGGCAGAGACAGGCTTAGTTATGTATAAAACAATAATGTCAACAGTCATCAAAAGTTCATGCTCTTTAGTTAGAAACTGTGAGGCAAGCAGACCTCTTTAATCTGGTTTGGTTTAACAAAACAGAACACGGCATTGGCAGCAGTGGCAGGAGAAGATGCATCATTTCCAGAAAGCATCCGGAAAGATTGATATTTCATTTTTGCTTATGTTACTTTCTAGTATGTTTCTAGCTTCTAGCTTTCTGCAAATCCTGGCAAATAGGCAACATTACTGCTCCTCATGGGCTTCATTGTTGGTTTGAAACTCATGTTTGAGAATCCTCAGAAACGAACACAAGCAATGGGCTCTTTTATTTAAGGGCTTCATTAAACCCAGTTCATTAACTATTAGACTTGGTCCAATTTCTGCCTAGCTCAGAGGAAACAAGCACCATCAATAAATGTGCCCATGAATACCAAGCCCCTCTCAGAGCTTATTATCAAATGGCTTCACAAGCAGCTCTGCCTATGCAACTTCACTATGATAATCCCAAATGAGTATCTGAAACTGTATGGGTTGCTATTAACCTGAACATTGAGATGTTGTGAAAGGGAGTAGCAATAGCTCTGTTTTGATGAGAACAATGCAAAATTTCCAGAAAGTACAACCTGGTACCATTTAACTAAGTTTGTTTTTTAAAGAGAGGGGTCGGGAAGAAAGAGAGTAATTAAAAGAAATTTGAAAGGGAGAATGAGGAAGTTCAGATCTTTCCAACATACTTGAAAAGTTATTTAAAATCAAAATAGCAACAGCTCAGCTAGAACATGTACCATAGGTTTTTAAGGGGAACAATACGTTCCAGAGAATTCCTGTGTGTCTGACAGAAAAAACCAAGGGAAAGGGGAAAAGGCTTTTAAGAAGCAAAAAGTTCTGTCCAAAAAGCTAATGTGGTACAGCAGTGTGAATGTCAGATTAGGCCATTGAGAGACTAGAGTTAAAATCCCCTCAGCTGTGGAAACCAACCTGATGATCTTGGACAAACCATACTCTTATTGATCACAGATTCAATTGCATTCCTTTGATGGACATGATGTACTGCTTCGAGTATATCTCTGGAGAGGCTATGATGGTATTAAGAGGCAGGCGTACTTTACAGAAGCTTCATCTTACACACCAGTTGCAGCCCTGTCTTGATTGGGTGCATCTGGTCTCAATTGCCCAAATAGTACAGGAAGGCAAAACCCTTCTGGACAAATCTCACCAAGGGTTACCTTAGTATTGTCATAAGTCACAAATGATTTGAAGCTCGTACACAACGACTACAATGAATTTTACATAGGATTGTCTTTGAAGATTATTCAGAAGCTACAACTCCTGGGAAAGAGAAACTGGAAAGAACACATAATTTCCACTAGCCACCGGGGAGAAATGTGATGCATAAATCATCCAAATACATGCATGCGTACTTTGTAAAATTTCAAAAATGGTTTGTACAAAACAGATTTTTGGTATTTTGCACACCTCTAATGCATACACAAGGTAAAGGTTTCCCCTTGACATTAAGTTTAGTTGTGTCTGATGCTGGAGGGTGGTGCTCATCTCCATTTCTAAGCCGAAGAGCTGGCATTGTCCATAGACACCTCCAAGGTCATGTGGCCAGCATGACTGCATGGAGTGATATCTTCCCGCAGAAGCGGTACCTATTGATCTACTCACATTTACATGGTTTTGAATGGCTGGGTTGGCAGAACTGAAGACCGACAGGTCGTAGGTTCAAATCCGGGGAGAGCACGGATGAGCTCCCTCTGTCAGCTCTGGCTCCCCATGCAGGGACATGAGAGAAGTCTCCCACAAGATGGTAAAACATCAAAACATCTGTGTGTCCCCTGGGCAACGTCCTTACAGATGGCCAATTCTCTCACACTAGAAGCGACTTGCAGTTTCTCAAGTCGCTCCTGACATTTTTAAAAAAACAAAAACAAAAAACAAAGCTTTAAAGCTCTGGTAATATGTTCCTAGATCCCCCATGGATACCTGAAACCACAAAAAATAATGAAGACTATTATTTTTGACAATATTGGAACTAAACCATAAAACCACACTGGAGGGTCCAGAGAGGCCCACAAATACTTCCAGGGGAGAGGATTGGGGGGGGGGGGGGGTAAGTGAAACTGTGGATATTGAACCAGTGGATAACAGGATCGTACTACATACTGAAAGCCAGATATTGCCACCTAGTGGATAAAAGGAGAATCATAGTTGAATTAAAATTTACTTAACCCAACTCTCTAGTGTTATGGAGGCTAGATTTCTTTTGTATTCAGAAACTTTCTTCTTATTCTGAAGGTCTTTCATTTCACAAGCTTAACTTAATGACAAAATTCCATCCTGATTTCCAACAATCATTGTTATGGGACTTCAAATTGTGTCTAATTTATAATGACTCTATATATATATACATATTTTCCCCAAAATAAGACCAGGTCTTCTATTAATTTTTATTCCAAAAAATGCAATAGGACTTATTTTCAAGAGATGTCTTATTTTTTCATGTACAACAATATACAGTTATTCAAATACAGTAATGCAATTTTCTTTTGGAAATCATCATAATACATCATAATACATATATAATATATATTCTTTCCAGAATGAAGAGGAAGCATTGGTAACGAACCCAAAGGGTGCTCACCAATTCTTCCTCTTCATCCTGGAAAGAAGTGACAAGCGGAGTGCTGCAGGGTTCCGTCCTGGGCCCGGTCCTGTTCAACATCTTTATTAATGACTTAGATGAAGAGTTAGAAGGCAGGATCATCAAGTTTGCAGACGACACCAAATTGGGAGGGATAGCCAATACTCCAGAAGACAGGAGCAGGATTCAAAACAAACTTAACTGATTAGAGAGATGGGCCAAAACTAACAAAATAAAGTTCAACAGTGACAAATGCAAGATACTCCACTTAGGCAGAAAAAACCCACAAAGATATAGAATGGGGCACGCGTGGCTCGAGAGCAGTACGTGTGAAAAAGATCTTGGAGTCCTCGTGGAGAACAAGTTAAACGTGAGCCAACAATGTGATGCTGCAGCTAAAAAAGCCAATGGGATTTTGGCCTGCATAAATAGGAGGAGAGTGTCTAGATCCAGGGAAGTCATGTCCATTCTGTCTTAGTCAGGCCACACCTGGAATACTGTGTCCAATTCTGGGGACCACTCCCAAATGACAAAATCAACCCCTCGCCCAATCCTACCTGTATTCAAATTTGGTCTAGTAAATGAGAACACATTCTGCATATCACATATTTACATTATGATTCAAAACAGTAGCAAAATTACAGTTATGAAGTACAAATGAAAATAATTTTATGGTTGGGGGTCACCACAACATGAGGAACTGTATTAAAGGGGCATTAGGAAGGTTGAGAACCACTGTCTACATTGTCAATATAAAGCAGTTTGAAACCACTTCAGCTACCAAACCTCAATGCTATGGAATCTCTCTCTGTGTGTGTATGTGTGTGTGTGATTACTGATGAGGTGCCAGCACTATTTGGCAGAAAAGACTAAAGCTTTATAAATCTACAACTCCTATGAGTTCATTGCATCGAGCTGTGGCAACTAAAGCGTTGTCAAGCTGCATTAATTCATTCATTTATTCATTCATTCATTCTAGCCTGCCTGCAAAACATCCCCGAAGTGCAGCTGGGCAAGGAACCCATTAACTGCGCATGCTCAGTAAAATTCAGAATGGTCCGAGGCGCCACTTCCGCTCTCGTGACGGAGCTTGCTCCGCCTCTGTGGCGTTCCCATAGCAACCAGCAAGCGCAGAGCCTCATGGCGGGTTGTTTACAGTCGCCTTTTGCTCTCTCCTCGAGGCCTGCAGTTAGATCCCGTTTGGGGTGAGTTAATGCGGGAATTTGTTTACAGTAAGGAAATGCTCTTAGGGAGTGTGTTCAGGTTTAAAGGAATACAGCCAGTAAATGTAGAAAAAGAGGTCCAGTGCCTTTCTTCTTCAGGAAAACAGAAAGTGTGTCCATCCAGATCAGTAATGGGTAAACTTGAGCCCTCCAGGTGTTTTGGACTTCAACTCCCGCAATTCCTAACAGACTAGCAACTCTAAAATCAGGACATTAAATGAGGAACAACGCTCAGAAAACAGGGTAACTCCAGACAGGAAACAATCAGGGCCAGAAAACACCTCTTAACGAAGGATTCCCCCAGTCAGGAAACAGCCAGGCTTTGAAGCTGCAAGGCCATTCAATGTTAATCAAGGTGGCCAATTCAGATTCCACTTGCCTCAAACAGACAAGGGTTCTTTCTCCCACCCTAAACATTCCACATATATAAACCTCACTTGCCTAGTTTCCAGCAGACCTCACAACCTCTGAGGATGCCTGCCATAGATGCACGCAAAATGTCAGAAGAGAATGCTTCTAGAATATGGCCATACAGCCTGAAAGACCTACAACAACCCAGTGATTTCGGTCATGAAAGCATTTGACAATACATAGAACAAGCTTTTCACCATTTAATGCATTTTGACATGATTTTTAACCACCATGGCTCAATTCTGGGGAATAGTGGGAGTTGTAGTTTATTTATTTATTTAAAACATTTGTACTCCGTCTTTCTCAACCCCCAAGGGGGGACTCAGGACGGCTTACAACCGGCAACAATTCAGTGTAGTTTGGTGAGGCACCAACAGTCATTGGCAAAGAAAGCCAAAGACCTTGTAAAACAGTGTAGATGCTTTCTAAGCCTACTTCCTCAGATGCATTTGAGGAAGTAGACTTAGGATATATCTACATTGTAGAATAATGCCTCTAAACACTTTAACCGCCATGGCTTGCTGCTATGGAATCACGGGAGGTGGTTTACAGGTCCCTACAATGCCATAGCATCGAGCCAAGGCAGTTAAAGTCGTGCCAAACTGCATTAATTCTATTGTGTAGCTACATCCTTAGTCTATGAAAACTTCTGCTACTATTTCTTTCACTCAGTCACAAATGTGCTTTAAGATCCCTTTGCATCCTGATATTCCAGACCTGTTGTTCTCAAACTGCTCTGCGAAGCCCATAGATTTCCACCAAGCATAGTCAGGGGCTCTGCAGGAGCCCTGCCACCCACTCCTTCATGCCCAGGAAGCATGCAGGCTGTGGAACTTTGCTGCTGCTGGCGCAGCCTATAAAGCCTCTCTGCACCACCACCATCATGGTTTGCAAGGCCTCCCTCTGCCATTTTGGCTGTGCTTTTCCTGCAAGGGAGAAGCAGGTTGGACTGGGTGGTTCCTGGGTTTCTTCTGTTGTTGTTTTAGTTTTTGTTATTGTTATTATTGCAAAGGCTGGATGGCCATCTGTTGGAGAATCTTTGATTGTACTTTTCCTGCAAGGCAGAAGGAGGTTGGACTGGATGGCCTCTAAGCTGTTCCTGTTGTTGTTGTTATTTGAAAGGCAGGATGGCCATCTGTTGGGGGTGCTTTGACTGTGCTTTGACTGCATAGCAGAAGGGGGTTGGACTGGGTGGCCTCTGGGGTGTTCCACTGAAATACTGTTAAGTTTATGTCAGTTAAAATTGGTCTTCATTTTAAATATTGTATATTGTATTTTTTTTTCTTTTCCACTATGAACAAAATATGTGCAGTGTGCATAGGAATTTGTTCATTTTTTCAATTAGTTTACACAACCATTATCCATGCATTTGCTACTGGTCTGGTCCATCAATCACATTTTAAAATGTAATGTGAGCCTGTGACCAAAAGTTTCTTGGGGCTCCACAAGAAACTTTTCCTTCAGAAAGGTCCGTTTGAGAACCCCTGTTTTGGACTAACAATGCTATGTCTTTGAATATTTAAGGCTGTGATGGATATTACAAGGGGAAGCTTGGATGAAATTTCAAGGCCAGCATCTAACTCAAGAATCAATAATGGAAGCAAAGTTTTAAGCACCTCTTTAGAGGTTTTAACACCAGAGCCAAACCTGCCCAAGGTAATTATTAAATTAGTGTTTGCAAGGTTTTGTCCATTTATTATGTATAATTGCTACAAATCTACATTCCTTATATGAACCAGGCAAACAGAGCTTGTGAGAGGGGTAGGTCATGTCTTACTTGTTTCTCTTGCTGATCAAAAGAGACCCTTAAATATTATATCAAAGGCCACATTGAAAATAAAATGTACTAGTTAGGGATGTGTCTGAGGCCAGATCTCTTGTTAATAATTGGTCTATGTGCACTAAACTCTGGTGAGTAAATTTGTAGGTGACCTGCCCTAAATCTGATTAACAATAAGAATATTGAATCAGTTATTAGATCATAGCTCAATACACATGAAATGTTATATTTCCTTATATTCATATTAGTGAGATAGAAACTTGGAAAAACATTTGCCCTTCATTTTTCTGCTAATGTACTAAAGCTTGTTTCACATGTTGAAAGAGATATATTCACAAAAGTGAGCCTTAACTTGGTACTACAGAAATGATGATTCCTAAAATACAAGATATCCAATATGTGTTCATGTCTTGTCAGTGCTTTTTTACTACACCTGCTGTCACAAGGTGTAGTCTAGACCAAGATTTTACACTTCTTTGGTGTAGTAGAAGTATACACTGTCAATTGACATGTAGTAGATACACTGTATATCAGTGTGTACTTCCACGCTTTATTTATTTATTTCAAGCATTTGTATCCCACCCTTCTCAACCCTCAGAGGGGGGACTCAGGGTGGCTTACAGCTGGCACAATTTAATGCCGCTACATAACAAATAATACATAGAGAAATTACCTATGAATAATACATTAAATTAGTTTAAATTTGTTTTAAAATAAAAAGTACAATGATAAAAGTACAATAATACTGGCTGTCTAGCCTTATCTAGAAACAAATTCAGTGAACACAACACAGAAGCCTATCCATAGTCCATTTTCCATAGCCTTATCATCATTGTAATCGTCAATTATCTGCAAGCTACCCAAAGGCCTGGTCCCATAACCACATTTTCAATTTCCTGAAGGCGAGGAGGGATGTTGTTGACCTGATTTCGCTGGGGAGTGAGTTCCACAGGCGAGGGGGGGGCACCATCGAGAAGGCCCTGTCCCTCGTCCCCACCAAGCGTGTTTGCACCAAAGGCAGGGCCGAGAGCAGGGCCTCCCCAGAAGATTTTAAACTTTGAGATGGGATGTAGAGGGAGATATGTTCAGACAGGTAAGCTGGGCCAGAGCTGTCTCAAGCTTTATAGGTCAAAACCAGCACTTTGAATTGTTCTCAGAATTAGACCGGCAGTCACAGAAGCTGACATAACAGAGGGGTGGTATGCTCCCTGTATGACACTCCGGTGAGTAATCTAGCTGTCGACGGTTGGACTAGGTGGAGTTTCCTAGCAGTCTTCAAAGGCAGCCTCACGTAGAGCACGTTGCAGTAATCTATTTGGGATGTAACCACAGCGTGGACCACTGTGGCCAGATGAGTGTAAAGTCTTGGATTAAAGTAAATAAAGTAAATAAAGTAAATAAGTGTAAAGTCTTGGTTTAAGACAGGTATCCTCAAACTGCGGTCCTTCAGCTGTTTAGGCCTCCAACTCCCAGCTTGTTCAATTGTCAGGAATTCTGCGAAATAGAGACCCAAACAGCTGGAGGGCCGCAGTTGGAGACCCCTTCTACACTGCCATATAATACTAATATCAAAGAAGATAATCCACAGTATCTGCTTAGAACTGCATTATATGAGTCTACACTCCTATATAATCCAGTTCAAAGCAGATAATGTGGATTTTATATGGCAGTCTAGGGCCAGCAATACATGGAGCGAGAGTTGCCAGATGTTCAAGCTGGTTTTAGAAAAGGCAGAGGAACGAGAGACCAGATTGCCAATATCCGCTGGATAATGGAGAAAGGCAGGGAGTTCCAGAAAAACATCTACTTCTGCTTCATTGACTATTCTAAAGCCTTTGACTGTGTGGATCATAATAAATTGTGGCAAGTTCTTAGTGGGATGGGCATCCCAAGCCACCTTGTCTCTCTCCTGAGGAATCTGTACAAGGACCAAGTAGCAACAGTAAGAACTGACCATGGAACAACAGACTGGTTCAAGATTGGGAAAGACGTATGGCAGGGTTGTATACTCTCACCCAACCTATTCAACTTGTATGCAGAACACATCATGCGATGTGCAGGGCTGGATGAATGCAAGGCTGGGGTGAAAATTGCTGGAAGAAACATTAACAACCTCAGATATGCAGATGACACCACTCTGATGGCCGAAAGCGAGGAGGAGCTAAGGAGCCTTTTAATCAAGGTGAAAGAAGAAAGCGCAAAAGCCGGGTTGCAGCTAAACGTCAAAACAACCAAGATTATGGCAACAAGAATGATTGACAACTGGAAAATAGAGGGAGAAACCGTGGAGGCCATGACAGACTTTGTATTTCTAGGTGCAAAGATTACTGCAGATGCAGACTGTAGCCAGGAAATCAGAAGACGCTTACTTCTTGGGAGGAGAGCAATGTCCAGTCTCGATAAAATAGTGAAGAGTAGAGACATCAGACTTGCAACAAAGATCCGCCTAGTCAAAGCCATGGTATTCCCTGTAGTCACCTACGGATGTGAGAGCTGGACCTTAGGGAAGGCTGAGCGAAGTAAGATCGATGCTTTTGAGCTGTGGTGTTGGAGGAAAGTTCTGAGAGTGCCTTGGACTGCGAGAAGATCCAACCAGTCCATCCTCCAGGAAATAAAGCCCGACTGCTCACTGGAGGGAAAGATACTAGAGACAAAGTTGAAGTACTTTGGCCACATCATGAGGTGACAGGAAAGCCTAGAGAAGACAATTATGCTGGGGAAAGTGGAAGGCAAAAGGAAGAGGGGCCGACCAAGGGCAAGATGGATGGATGGCATCCTTGAAGTGACTGGACTGACCTTGAGGGAGCTGGGGGTGGTAACGGCCGACAGGGAGCTCTGGCGTGGGCTGGTCCATGAGGTCACGAAGAGTCGGAGACGACTGAACGAATGAACAACAACAACAATGGCCATGTTCCAGCAGCATTCTCTCCTGGGATATATGGCAGTGTGGACTCAGATAACCCAGTTCAAAGCAGATATTGTGGATTATCTGCCTTGATATTCTGGGTTATATGGCTGTGTAGAAGGGCCCTAGGGCCCTTCCACACAGGTCTATAAAATCTCACATTATCTGCTTTGAACTAGGTTATATAGCAGTGTGAAGTTGGATAACCCAGGTCAAAGCAGATATTGTGGATTATCTGCCTTGATATTCTGGGTTATATGCCTGTGTCTTTCCAAGGCCCCTCCACACAGCCCTATATCCCAGAATATCTGCTTTGAACTGGGTTATCTGAGTCCACATTCAGTTCATGTGGGATTTCTTGCCTTGATATTCTGGAATATAGGGCTACGTGGAAGGGCCTTGGAAAGACCTTTAGTATATCTGGTCTAAAACTAAAACTTTTGACAGCTGTAGAATTAATGCAGTTTGACTCCGCTTTAATTGCCGTGACTAAATACTGTGGGGTCATGGGAGTTGAAGTTTTCTGTCTGTTTTGCCTTCTCTGTCAAATAGTGCTCCCATGATTCCACGGCATTGAGACATGTTAAAGTGATGCCAAACTGCATTATTTCTATATTGTTAGGGTAGATCTGATAGTTGTACAACTGATTAAGCTGAGGGTATTGTGGCCTTAAATTCACATCTGCAAGCCTGTAACAAACGAATTTTAATTTCCCTTCTTTTACTATTGTATTTTAATCTTTGTCCCATGTATTTTATAGCAATGTGTTTTAATATATGCATTTTATTGTTATAATTTATGGTGATGTGTTTTAACTGTTTTGCCCTGCCTCAAGCCATGAGGAGAAGCAGATATCAAATAATAATAATAATAATAATAATAATAATAATAATAATAATATTTGCACCAAATTTTAAGTGCTTAAATACCATCAAACCTTTGATTTTATTTAGTGAAACTATAATGTAGACTATGATCAATGGGACTTGAAATGATAATGGGACAGTGGTTTTGTACAAGAGGATTGATAAACTTGTTGAAACTTGCTATTCCCAATCACTTCTAGGTTGGTTTTTACAATAATTACACAGAAGATAAGTCTGAAAATGTTTATGAGCAAGGAGAGAAAGATGGAATTAAAAAATTGAAAAGCTCACAAGAAATACCTGAAGAAAAAGCTAACAATGATTTCCAGTTGGTGATACAAAATGAAAATAAGGTAGAAGGTATGAAAGTTAATTTTATATGCAGTACAGGCTCATGCATGCTGATTCAGAAGTAATTATGGTGTTCATTCAGGCATATGCTGTTTTATAAGTGAAGATTACAGCTGTAATACACAACTGTTGAGAACTGTTCCGAGTTCCAGAGAAGTTATGTGACTATCAAAATAAGATAGTAATTTTCACTGGATAAATATATAGATATGTCAGAATTTTGCATTTTGAGATTACTTCTATTATGACTGTCTAAATGCAATTTCCTTACATTTTTCAAGCTCATGCAATCAGATAAGCTGTTAATTTCATGTATCAGAGCAAATTCACCCAATCATATAAATTGTCAGTTAAGGGAAAAGCATTTTGCTTGATAAGACTGCACAAAAGCTTCATGGATACAACACTTAGTTGATGATAAAGAAATCTGGTGTGACAGGTTGGAAATGAATTGAAGATACTTAACAGTAATAACATGGTGGATAAGAAGGAGTTAGGCTTGAAGGGAATATGTTCAGTTCTGAAATGCATCAATGATGTCTTGCTCCTTAATAGAAATAAGACCGTGTATAGAGAATGTGTTGGGATTTCTGAAGATGCTATTCTTGTTTAGGAGAAATAGGCTGAATGAAACAAAGATTAATAGAGGCTCCATACTTTTTATGATGTCCCATGGTGTGATTCTGTAACTGAATAAACCCTGTGAATTGGAACAACATTTCACACTTAATTTTCTTGTCTTTTTGACAGTTCTCCATCATTGATGATGATATTGTTGATGATGATATTGTTGTTGTTGTTTATGATGATAATAATAATACATTTATTACCTGCCTCTCCCTGTGCCTCAAGGTGGGGTACAACATAGTTAAAACAAGACATAAAACACTCTTGAAACACATACAACAGTATACACAAAGTTAAAATACAAGTTAAAATCCACTGATAAAATGCAGATTAAAATCACAAGTTAAAATTGACTGGGTAGGTCTGTTGGAAGAGATAGGTCTTCAGTTCCATCTTGAATTCTGACAGCTGATTTAGCTGTCAAATCTCTTCTGGCAAGTCATTCAACAGTAGGTAACCTGGACCCAAACCATGTAGGGCTTTAAAGATCAAAACCAATACTGTAGTTTGCCCTTGTAATGCATGCATGTGCACATCAGTGTGTCCTATTTTGTTCAGTGGTGATTATTCTCAGGTAAATATGAAAGCTGTCATTATCTATATACTCAAAACATTTTGGACTGGTTGGAAAACTGGTGGAATTTTGTTCATAAATTACATATTTGCGTATGGTTACCTTGATATGAATTGAGCTGTGAATGGATAATTCAGCCCTCCACATTTGCAGGCTTAACTGTTGTGGATATGGTTAATATGGCCTCTCCTTTGGCAGATGTTGACTAGAGTCACACTGGAGGACTAGAAAGGTGTTTTCTCAGATAAACAATTCGCTTTTTTTGAATTGAAATTTGTCCACTTTCACAAGCATCCTACATCTCTAAACCCAGCAAATATTTGTTTATTATTTATTTATTTAAAGCATTTATATTCCGCTCTTCTCACCCTGAAGAGGACTCAGGGCCGAGCACAACATATATATGGCAAACATTCAATGCCGGAACATAAAATAAACTCTCTCTCTCTCTCTCTCTCTCTCTCTCTCTCTATATATATATATATATATATAAACACTAAAACCAGTTATCTCCACTTTAAAATCAATTGTTTAAAACCATTTCAAAGCAGCCATACTGAACAGATTCCAAATATTGCCTTATTGCAATGTCCCATAGGCTTGGTCTAACAGCCAAGTTTTTACCATATTTCTGGAGGACAGGAGGGAGGGGGCTGATCTAATTTCGCCAGGGAGGGGGTTCCATAGCCGAGAGTTGTCTGATATTTTAAAGCAGTCTTACCCAACGTAATGATTTTCAGAAATGTTGGCAGTATAGCTCTCTGAATCCAAATGGGTTAGAACTTATAATTTAAAAACATCTGGTCTGTACCACATTTGTTGGAAAATTATTGATAGCCATTGTCCACAATTCTCAGATGTTCTAGAGCAGGGGTCCTCAGACTTTTTAAACAGAGGGCCAGGTCACAGTATCTCAAACTGTTGGAGGGCCAGATTATAATTAAAAAAAAAAACCATGAATGAATTCCTATGCACATTGCACATATCTTATTTGTAGTGCAAATAACACTAAAAAACAATACAATAATTAAAATGAAAAACAGTTTTAACAATTATAAACTTATTAGTATTTCAATGGGAAGTGTGGGCCCTCTTTTGGCTGATGAGATAGGATTGTTGTTGTTGTGTGCTTTCAAGTCATTTCAGATTTAAATTGACCCTGAGTGAGGGCTGGGTAAATGACCTTGGAGGGCCATATCCAGCCCCTGGGCTTTAGTTTGAGGACCCCTGTTCTAGAGAATAAATTGTACAAATAGAATTCTAAGTGATCTTGAAGGATTTTCATCTTGCACATTATCACATGCAGGTTTTAAGGGAAAATATGCATGGACTGTGTTTGAAACCGCATTTATTCCACTGATTGGGCTCAGTGCTTGGATGCTTTCTTGTGTTTTCTATATTGCCTATGTTTTGTTTCCAAGCCTGATTCAAAGTTCTGATTCCCCTACCCCTTTAAAAATCACAGAATGTTCCTTGAGATATTGTGAAATTCTTGTTAGATGACCACCAAGAGATCTGTTCTGTGCTCCCCATCTCTTAAATTTGACATGTAGGATGTCCATGGTTGTTTCAACTGTGGAATGGCCTTCCTTAAACAGAACCAACTGACTGTTCTACATCTTGTCCTTCACTGGGTGGTGAAGGCAGGAATTCTCTTCTGACCTTTCCACATTCGTGAAAACGGATGATTTATGGCTCAGTGTCATCAGTGTCCTCTTACTGCTTTGTTTTTTTTTTGTCTGGCTATTTTGTTCAGTTTCTCTTTGATTTGTTTGTATCGCAATATCTTTTATTTGTTTGATTCTGTTTTATGAGAGATAACTGCTCTCACTGTAATAAAAAGCAAAGAAAAATATTTTAATTGTGACTTGTTCTCCAATTTTCACAATATTCAGAGAACAGACTCATCACTTACCTTCACTGGAAACTTTTCCCTCTCTCAGCAAAACCCTTAATTGTTGTTCAACATGCAGAAATGAAGCAGTTGAAGTTTTCTCATTTTAGCACCTACGTGATATGAAAGCTTTACTGATTGAATTCCGATACTTTTAAAAAAACTTTAATAAGAAAACAAGACTGCTGTGAGGAAAGGATGGCAAATATTTTTTTTGTAGAGTTTAGATACCATGGGGAGGCACTAAATGAATCATAGTGCACAAGCATAATTGTTACATTCTCCCTTCTCAAGTTTAAACACTAATCACAGGGCTTCACATTGTCCTTAACAAAGAGTTGCTATGTAGTAATGGCAGTTTTCATGTTTGGTTCAAATCTTAAAGTTATTGTTAAATCAACCCACGTCTTCCATTTTTTAGAATGTTCTTCAAGCTCAATGGATTCCGAAAATGATTGTACTGAAAATCAACTATATAGATGCAGCAGTGCTCCTCAGAAGAAAATAGCTAAATTACAGAAAGGTACTTCTTTATGTATTATTTAAAGTATTTCTAGCTGTTTGGCTAGAAAATCACCTTGAGTAGCTTACAGATACAGTGCCAAAAAAGGACTATACTTGGCTTATACTAGCTGGTGAGAGCATCAAAGTTTGGAAATGGCAAAAACCAGCAGTTTATTTTGCTATCTGTTGCTGCTTCTACTACATTAGATATTCCTAATCATCTGCATAATTACACTTATTTTAGAGATCCTTCCCTATAGCATTATTTATCCAATGCCACATGTTAGTAAGTAAAAGGCCAGAGAACAACAGGGCAAATGCACTTCCAGTTGCAGAAAACATATTGTTTTCCTTATCAGAGATGAAGATGAAATATATGTTATCAGTTATAGTAGCTTCTGTACCATCTTTTAAGATCAAACATGGCATATATCTTATTTCTGGTGATTTAAATTGTTCGACTTGTTATGTATTTTATTGTTATTTATATTATTGTTTTGTTGTAAGCCACTTCATGTCCCTTTGGGAGATGGGGTGGGATATAAATAAAGCTTCATTCATTCATATATGAATGAAGATGTGGAAGATGCTAGAATAAAAACACATTGATGAAGGAAACTTGTGAAGGAATTGATCTATAAATTAAATAGATTTGAGAAACAGAAGCAAGCCTAGTTAAAGAACTGGCAATAATGATAGTTATTAAACCCTACTGTAACATTTGAAATACACCTATTTATAAACTGGCATGACTTATTCGACATGACTTGGGAGATTAGTAGTTTGTTTGGGTTGTTGTGAGTTTTCCGGGCTGTATGGCCATGTTCCAGAAGCATTCTTTCCTGACGTTATGCCTGCATCTATGGCAAGCATCCTCAGAGGATGCCTGCCATGGATGCAGGCGAAATGTCCAGAGAGAAGGCTTCTGGAATATGGCCATACAGCTCGGAAAATTCACAGTAACCCAGTGATTCCAGCCATGAAAGCCTTCAACAGTTTATAGATTTGGAATCTCTATTGATTGACTGGGATCTCTGCAGCTTTTGTTTTATATGCTAGTAGAAGAAAAACGTTACTAAGAATAATTGACTGAATTTGATATTAATAGATTCTTCTGTATTTCAGTGACAGCCAAGTCTACGAACACAGGAGATTCTAAGGAGAAAGATGTAGATCTCCTCGTCCTGAATGCTATCAAGAAGATGAAAAGGTTGGACCAGATATTGGCAAATAAGCAGTCTCAAGAAAGAGCTATTAAAAAGCAAGGCAAAGAACTGAGAAGAAAACTCTGGGAAGAATTTCAGGTTAGACACACACATATATATTTAAAATGCTGAGACCTTAAGCATGGTCTCAAATATTAGTTTTCGCTTATATTTAAATGGCCTATATTACTTAAATCAGATACTGTTATTTTGGGGTAAACCATAAAAAGTGCTAAGTGTACATTCTACTATAACTGTTCTGGCAATGAATAATCTTACACAATGGAACTTGCAGGTATGGGAATATATCTGATGTGAAACTCATGCTTATGCTAAAATTGTATCAGTTGATACAGTTGCAAGATTTATGTTGATGCTGTTTAGTAATCAGTGATACTTTAAGGATAGTTTTGCTTGTATTCATATTTATCAAAGCTACTGTATAATTTTAAAGTTGGAGTTGGACTTTGGTGTCAAAATGTATTGTGTTTTCTAGCAAAGTTGTAGAAACAAAATATTACAGAAATGCTTTACCATGTGACCAAAATCATTTTAGTTTGTATATATTTTAGTAAGTATATTTGTTTTTTCTTCTCTGATCGCTTCAAAATCTTGTGTTCTGTTTTCTAATACTTCTGGACTGCTTGTTTTGCTGTATGTATTTGTATGTGTTTTGTCATTATACAGTCCACAACATCTCGAAATTCTACAGTGATTACAGAAGAGGGAGAAAACACTAGCAGATTTTTGGCTTTGGCATCACCATTACCAGAAACACTAGGTAAATATCAGAAATTATTAACATGTTCCTTTTAACATAAACAGAGTTATCTTAGGTGGAATGGAGGATTGACAAAGCATTGTCAACCACTTCCAAAATTGTGCAGATTATGCCAGCCAGAGTGGACTTCTTTACTTGGACAGAATTAAAATAGCCACTAAAATTAAAAGGGGGAAATCCAAGTAATCTGGCCCAACTCAAGGGAATGGAGCTCTTTTGGATCCATCTGATCAAAAGACACCTCAACACTTTTTCTGGAATTCCAGTGCTTGTGGTGCTAGATTTTTGCTTTTGGAGTTTGTCACAGATGTAACTGGAGAGACAGTGTGTTCATATCCTATAGCAAATGGGACTTGTCTATCCTATCTTATCTTCAGTGGTCAGTGTATAAGGGCTTTAGGACCACTCTGCCAAATATTTCTATTTTTACAGCAGTGATGCATATATCTGCTTCCCACTGAACTGCTCCTGCAGTTGCAGTCCAGTTGTTGGACTTCAGGTCCCAGAATTCCTCTCCCTTGACTGGGCACCCTGGATTTTATGAGTTAAGTCCAATAATATCCGATGATCCAAATTTGGGGATTGTCATTTTAGAATATATTTGATCTACCATTGCCATATATAGTATTGTAGTAATGCTTAATGTTTGACATGTTATTTGAGATATATTTTAGAAAAAAATGTATTGGAAGCAAACCAAAAAAAAAAAAAATACTATCACAATGTCTTTGACATTTTTAAACTTAAGCATGATTTTGCAGGGCAGCAAGCCCATCAAAGGCATTATATATATATATATATATAGAGAGAGAGAGAGAGCATTTTGACACTGTTCACAGCACAAATCTTCTCAAGATGACCTACAACTGATAAGCAAAAATGATGGAAATGATCAAAATATAAATTATATACTTGTTTTTTTGTAGTAGCATAAACACCCTATACAGCCAAGCAGTCCACCTAATACAGATCAAATAAGCTGAAAAGCACTGGTCTACATCCAATTGCTCATCCCAACTGGAGCAGACCTATTCAGTCAACTGGTAAATTGTAAGTTCATCCTTACATTATTATCAGGGGTTCCTGTGTGTATTCTAGTTGGGACTGGCACTTGGATTTTGGCCTTTGCCTTTGATAAAATACTTTTAGTAAGAAGAAAATGTAAGATAAACCTAGAAGATTTGTTTTCATTCTTTGACCCTTTGAGATGTGGTCTTGATCAGCCTCTTGAAATTGATGATCTGAATTTCTATATTAATTTCCTTCTTTGAAAGGAGAGGCTGTTGAGTCAATTTGGCAAGATAGCATTATGACCCTTCTTATTTATGGGACATTTAAAACATCTGATAGTAAACATGAACTGGCCAGTGTACATCATGTATGAAATAGCTAAAGTTTGTCCTTCAAGTCTTTCCCAATTTCTCAGTTAGGTTACATTTATATACCAGTTGATTTGAGAATAATCCCCATTGAAATTAGTGGAATGTAGCAGACATGTAGATGGCTGTTATTATAACAGATCTATTTTCATTTGTGATTGTTAAATAGTTCCATGATAGATCTTTGTTGACCTTGGTCTTTTCATTCAGTCATTTAGTTGCTGGACTTCTGAAAATAATGATTTTAGAGGGAAGAACAATATCCCTTTTGCATTTTTCAAACAACAACTCAGAACATGACAATCTGATGTGTTCCTGCTGCGGGGCATTCTGTTTCTTTCCACAATGTGGAGACAGATTATCTTGCTACTATTTAAGTGCACGATAGGGGAATCTTGAATTTGATTATTGTTTAACTAAGGGCCCAGGTAGCTCAGTATTCCAGGATTTCAAGGAAGAAAATCCCACAATATCTGCTTTGAACTGGGTTATCTGAGTCCACACTCAGATAATGTGGGATTTCCTGCCTTGATATTCTGGGCTATAGGGCTGTGTGGAAGGGTCCTAGGGCCCCTTTCACAAAGCTGAATAAAATCACACATTATCTGCTTTGATAACCCAGTTCAAAGCAGATATTGTGGGATTTTCTGCCTTTATATTTTGGTTTATGTGGTTGTGTGGAAGGCCCCTAAGGCCCCTTCTACACTGCCATATAAAATCCAGATTATCTGCTTTGAACTGAATTATATGGCAGTGTAGACTCATATAATCCAGCTCAAAGCAGATAATGTGGATAATCCGATTTGATAATCTGGATTATATGACAGTGTAGAAGGTGCCCTTATCCTGTAGGTGATTTAGATTCCTGAACAGTGTAATGGTAGGATAATAAAGCTTTTAGTTAAAAAGAAATTAGATATGAAATAAATTTTGTTTATAAAACATCTATGTGCACTTATAATATACAGTAACCCTGTCTGCTGTCATGTAGATTTTATTTTAAAAAATCATATTTAGAGAGTGTGTGTATGAGAGTACTTCCAGAGAGGCTCTATATCCCAGGATCTGACTCCAGATTTTCTGCTTTAAACTGGGTTATATGAGTCCACACTTGCCAATTTAGGCTGAATCTACCATGCCATATAACCCAGATTATCTTTTTTGAACTAGATTAACTGAGTCCACCATGTCATATAATCCAGTTCAAAGCAGGTAATCTGGACTTTATATGGCACTGTAGAAGGGCCCTCAATTTCATAGCGTGGTTCTAGGTATTTAGGGCATATTTGTTCTTAATTTAAAATTCAATGTTTGAATGATCAACTTGGAAAACTTGCATATAGTATTTTTTACATTTTAGTTGGCCAATAAGAGATTGCTCTTTTGTGGATTTGGTTTTATTTTAAGACTAAGTTTGTAATACTTTAAATGGATGAAAAGCTGTATTGTTACCACTAGATGCCAGTATTTCATAATGAAAGATTCTTGTAGACTTTTAACTGTTGTTTTAAAATAAGGAATTGTTGTTTGTTTGCATGTTAATTATACTAAACAGCCCCACTTCTATCTCACAAAGGTGCCTTTTTTGGTACTTCATCCATACTGGTCAGAAGAAATTGGCATAGTTTAAATAGTTAAAGGATCCTCCTTGCCCGAGGCATTTGGACTGCATACATCCAGTCAGGCCCATTTTGTGTGATTTCAGCAGAAAAGTTTGGTTTATCTGAAAAAAAAAGATTGGAATGTACAGCAACTAACTAATTAACTTCTTAATAGGTTAGCATTTCATTTGTATTGATGTGGTGATTTTCTCACATGATGACAGGTGATTTTCTCATATGATTGATTGTGACCTGCATATTCCTAAAACCTGAAACTGAATCTAGTTTATTTTTTTCTGAACTGTCCTTTATGCTTCCATACATGAATTAAGATTTGAGACTAGATTATGAAGTGGGCACTCTCTCCCCTCTCCTTGTCATTTTTATTTAGGCTTCCTAATAATGTATGATCTCCAGAGACCTCACCAGAAATAAAATACAATACTATATTAAACAAAAACAAACTAAACAGATAGCAGCCTGAATGGTTTTAATTCACAGAAAGACAGAAGACCAGTTTAATAATAAAATGAAAATAACATCAAATATCAGGAGTCTAGATCTCATAAATTATTTAAAAGCCTTGAGTGAATTCCTTGTGCTGGAAAAAGCCATTAAGAAAATGGCAGATAAGACTCTTTAAGAAAGAGGTTCAGATAGGAACCTTTTAGTGCAAAAGGTTTGGAAAGGAACCTTAGTGCAATAAGTGAATGCAGAATGGTGCAACGACAACTGGAACGGCCGTGGATTATGATATTAGATCATGTGATTTTAATAATTGGTTTTAATGGTTTTAATATTTGAGATGTTTTAGTGGTTTGGTTTAATGTATAAGTTTATTTTGTTGGATGTATGTTTATGTGGCATAGAATTGTCCCTATATAGTGTTCCCTCACTTATCACGGATGTTATGTGGCAGGACAACCCATGAAAAGTGAAAAACCGCAAAGTAGAGACGCTATATATGTATATTGTGTTCCGAGGGTGAGGCAGAAATGAGGAGAGATTTAAAGGCACCACACACCTTTTATTTTTGCTGGCTATCTCTGCTTTGCTTTGCAATCTCTCTTGATTGGCTGCCTCTCTCCTGGGGGGGAGGGTGAAACCCCCTTCCACACTCCATTATTGCCAGGAGGTGGGATTAGAATGCCGCTCTGGGCAATGGCAACCACTCATAAACTGGGAGGAAAAAACCCGCAAAACAGCGAGTCTGCAAAAAGCAAACCGCGAAGTAGCAAGGGAACACTGTATATGTGAGTCGCTCTGAGTCCCCTTTGGTCTGAGAAGGGCGGGGTGGAAGAAAGGTAAAAGTTTCCCCTTGACATTAAGTATAGTCAAATCCGACTTGGGGGGGGGGGAGGGGTGTGTGTGTGTGTGTGTGTTCATCTCCATTTCTAAGCCAAAGAGCCCGTGTTGTCCATAGACATCTCCTAGGTCATGTGGCCAGCATGACTGCATGGAACACCGTTACCTTCCTGCCAGAGCTGTACCTACTGATCTACTCACACTTGCGTGTTTTCAAACTGCTAGGTTGGCAGAAGCTGGGGCTAAAGATGGAAGCTCACCCTGCTCCGTGGATTTGAACTGCTGACCTTTGTGTAGGGTTCATTAAAAAACAAAAACAAAACAGGCACCAAAACTGATTGGGACCAAGTGTAGCTGACTAAGTAGCATTGGCATATGGTTGCAAGATGACCCTAAGTGGATGGCTAATTTTATTTTAGAAAAAGTGCACTGCCTTTTAACCTATCTAATTTTGTTGCCTTCAAGGGTCACGGTATCAAATCTATGTGAAGTGTTTTGTTTGTTCCAGGGTTTTGGTAATTCATATTTATCACAGCTTTCACCTATTTGTGTCAGAAACTGCCAATTTCCATGTCTACAGATTTCAAGATGGCAGGAAATAATACATAGCTCTTCATCCTGTTTTAAAATATAAATATGTAGGAATTATTTAATCATAGGTTTTTTGTTATAGATTCTGCTGCTGTTGAAGAAGATGAAGTGTTTGTTAGTCTGTTTCACACACAGATCAATCCAGAAAGTTATGCACACAGTGGAAGAGAAACCAAGCAAGGTATAATTTATTATTTGAACTGCTTTATCATGTATATTTTTTAGGCATTGAATGTTTGACGATTCTTTGTTGCACACCACCCTGAGTTTCTTTTGGGAGATAGGGTGGTATAAAATAAAGTTGTTGTTGTTATTATTATTATTATTAGATATATGAATATATTTTAGTTCCCTAAATCTTATTTAAAAAGAAAAGTTATAAAGTGTGAATGCATCTTGAGTGTGAATGCACCTTGAGGGTCGCTCCCAGAAGATGTCACTAGGGGACTCCTGCTCGACTCCTCGGCCATTGCACTGTGGAGTCCCGCAGGGTTCAGTACTGTCCCCTATGTTGTTTAACATATACATGAAGCCGTTGGGAGAGATCATCAGGAGTTTTGGGGTGCGGTGTCATCTGTACGCAGATGATGTCCAGCTCTATCACTCCTTTCCACCTGCTACTAAGGAGGCTGTTCAGGTTCTGAACCGGTGCTTGGCCACTGTAACGGACTGGATGAGGGACAACAGATTGAAACTAAATCCAGACAAGACAGAGGTACTCCTGGTCAGTCGTAAGGCCAAACAGGGTATGGGGTTACAGCCTGTGCTGGACGGGGTCACACTCCCCCTAAAGGCGCAGGTTCGCAGTCTGGGAGTTCTCCTAGACTCATCGATTAGCCTGGAGCCCCAGGTCTCGGCGGTGGTCAGGGGAGCATTCGCACAGTTAAAGCTTGTGCGCCAGCTGCGCCCGTACCTTGAGAAGTTTGACTTGGCCACGGTAGTCCACGCTTTGGATACATCCCGCTTAGATTACTGCAACGCTCTCTACGTGGGGTTGCCTCTGAAGACTGCCCGGAAGCTGCAGCAAGTCCAACGCTCGGCAGCCGGACTACTAACGGGTGCTGGGTACAGGGAGCACACCACTCCGCTGTTACACCAGCTCCACTGGCTGCCGATTAGCTTCCGAGCACAATTCAAAGTGCTGGTGTTAACCTATAAAGCCCTAAATGACTCCGGCCCTGTTTACCTCTCCGAACGTATTCTCCCCTATGAACCATCAAGATTATTAAGATCGTCTGGAGAGGCCCTGCTCTCGGTCCCACCGGCCTCACAAGCGCGTCTGTTGGGGACGAGGGATAGGGCCTTCTCGGTGGTGGCTCCGCGACTCTGGAACTCTCTCCCACCGGAGGTCAGAACCGCCCCTTCTATCCTGACATTTAGGAAACAGGTGAAGACGTAGTTATGGAGACAGGCTTTCGATGAATGAGACAACATCCTAAGATTTGGATGGAAGATGATGTATAATCGATTTTAGTATGACTGACCACTGTAGTTTTAAATATATTTGTTGTTTTAATATGTTATTGTAATATGAACTATGATGTTTTACCGATTGTATGTGTTTTTATGGTTGGAAACCGGTCTGAGTCCCTCAAAGAGGTGAGAAGGTCGGTATATAAAACTTTGAAATAAATAAATAAATAAATAAATAAATAAATAAATAAATAAATGATGCTTAATATTATTAATATCAAAAGTAATGACTTCACTTAAAGCTGTACTGACTGTGAACCACACAAATCTATTTCCAAATCCGAATTGAATAAATTTTTCAGGTACACTCACTTTGCTAACTATTTTAACTCCTTGGGTTACTGTGACTGTGGCCCCTTCCACACAGCTGTATAAAATCCACATTGAACTAGATTATATGACAGTGTGGACCAGATAATCCAATTCAAAACTGATATTGTGGATTATCAGCCTTGATATTCTTGGTTAGATGACTGTGTGGAAGGTCCCTGTGTGGTTGGATTTATGAAATCCTACCGTATAATGCTTGGATATTTACTTACATTTCTGATCAATAATTAGGAGGACAATTTTGGATATTTCTTCTAATTGTCTATCAAAACTCCTCCTAAACATCACAGGACAGAATAAGTTCTGTCCTCCCTGCTGCCATTTCTTTTTTTCTACTCTTCTTTTTCTCCTACAGGAAGGGAAGGAAGAACTATTAAGCCTTAACAGAGCTTCATAGAATTTTGCTACATCTAGATAGCAGGCAAGTAATAAAAGCCTGCAATCTGGGGGTGAGGAAACAGGTTTGGAACCTGAGATGATTTAACATAAGGAGGTCCATGGAATGCATGTCTATATTTCATATACATCTTATACACATAGCCTGACTTCATGCACAATATTTTTAATACTTGGTACATGAAACATGGTTTGTGTACAATAACCTATCAAAATGCAAAGATCTTAGCCAGCCATGTGGACAATTTTGAATTTTGAAATATTTTGGGATTTTGGAATTCCAGATAAAGGACACTCAACTTGTAACTTAGGATCAAAGCCCACTATTGCTGACAGTGAAAAAAATAGATGTTTCCCAGTTCAGACATAATGGGAAACAATTTTCTCTGTTCTACAAATAAGCTGTGATGAGTGCATGTGCTCTCTTCTCCTCCTAGACATGAACACATCAGAACATATCAGAAGTGCACATAATATTGTTCTGCCATTTTGAATGGCAGTTCTCTATTGTTTCTCCATATTTACAAGCAAATTATTTTAAGGGAAAACGTCCTTAAAACTGAAAAAGCCTTTTGTGAAGAAATAGATAAACCACAGAGACATTATGTAGAGATATTTTCCATGTTTTCTTAACTGCAGATTGTTTAAGTGAAGACAGAACAAGAAGCACAATGAAGACAATAGAAAACATGCATCAAAAAAGTGAAGCAAGCTATAAACATTATCCTGATTTTATTAAAAAGAACATAGAGGTATGTTAATGATCTACCTTGAAAAACACAGAGCAGGAACTCTGAAATCTCATCATGCTTACAAATTAATAATGGGTGATTAAGTGTTCTGCAAGAGCTATCCAACAAACTTGTCTGAAGATTATTGGAAAAATGTGATTTTATATTTCTTATTGCTTTCGGATCATTGTATTTAATTGGAGAAGAGATTGGAATTTGCTCATCTAGCATTAATAAACACATCTATATAACAGAACATCCCATTTTAATCCCATTGTCTTTATTATTTTACAATGTGAGTTTCCTCTGATCTAGTCCTTGTGACCTCTGACAGTAAGTGGAGGGAAATCTTACAAGGCTCTTTGTACTTCAAAAATATCAAGGTAAGAATTTGTTAAAAATTATGGATGTTGTCAAGGATTATGCTCAACAAGACTTGTAAAGCTGCAGAGATCCCAGTACATCCGTTATATTATCACCAAGTCTTGTAGCAATAAATATAGTTTTTGCTATAAACTATATAGTGGAGTGCTTTATTTTGTCTACTTTCAATTACTTCTCATTCAGTTTTATTGGAGGACTTACAACAATTGATACTAATAACTGTACAAAAAAGTATTTGAGGATTCCAAACAGGTTTTCTATATGCTCTCATGGAATCATAGAGTTGGAAGAGACTACGTGGGCCATGTAGTCACCCCTTACCATGCAGAAAAAGCACAATCAAAGCACCTGAGACAGATGGACATCCAAGTTTATCTTCAGACATAACAATCTCTTTATTATGTTTTAATCAACATAACTGTAATTCTTTCCCCCTTTCAACTAACCTTACTAATTTTAACAAAAGCAACAGCAATTTTGAATTTTGAAATATTTTGGGATTTTGGAATTCCAGATAAAGGACATTCAACTTGTAACTTAGGATCAAAGCCCACTATTGCTAAAAAAACACCTCAAAATATGAAGAAATGTTGTAATTGAAATGAGAAAGACAATATTCAGTTATTAATATTCCAGGCCTTCCAGTTTCCAAATTTCTTTCTTTTTTCAGCTAGCCAAAGATGCAGCCAATCAAGTGGTTATGCTGGAAGAAGAAAAGAAAAGGCTTGCAGAGTTACTCAGAGATACTGAAGAGGAGACAAATGAACTTCACGTCATTGAGGTGTGAGGATATAAGTTGAAAAAAATGGATACAGAATTTAAGTAGGTCAAAGATGAATAAAATGATAAAAAAATGGCAACTTGGGGGAAATTTTGAAATTCCGCATATCTAGTTTGTTCTGGAGATGACTGGCATGATAGACAGGATGAAGTGGATAGGATAACTAATTCCAAATGTATTCTGTCATGATCCTTCCATTGATTTGTGCATGTCACAAAGGGTTGCTTTGAAATACAACATTTAGTAGGAGTTAATTGTATGGGTGCTATGCTGCAGTTTTGCACTCCTTTGTCATCATATAAAACAAGACTCAGATCTGGAAGGAGACTTGCTCTTGAAGGATCTATAGAACTGTAGCCTTAATGACTAGGGGACCTTATGGGACAGCAGTATTGAGAGGCATCGTTAAGTAAAGTAAAGAGAGGAATTGGGAGGTGATCATACCTTCCAGTCCTCTCTCGCTCATTTTCATTCGTTCTCCTCTCATCAGACTCTTCGTGCATAAGTGTCCACTATCTTCCTCATCACACATAGGCAATAAGTCTCTGCCCCAAGCTTATTTTCTCCATGCAAATCTGCCAGAATCCCTTTCCATGAGATGCAATAGTTCTGCATCTAAACTAGGCATGGGCCCTCCAGGTGTTTTGAAATCCAACTCCACAATTCCTAACAGCCAGTAGGCCGTTAGGAATTGTGGGAGTTAAAGTCTAAAACACCTGGAGTGCCAGTGTTTGCCCATGCCTGATCAAAACCCATTGGACCCTTGAGACAAGGATGCTGTTTTAGACCGTTGCTTTCCATGGGATCCAATTTTTCTGCATCAAAACCCATTGGACCCTTGAAACAGGGATGCTGTTTTAACCCACTTCTTTCAATAGGAATGAGTAATCAAGCATTTCTGTAAACAGGGATGACAGCTCTCTGCTAAATACAATATTATAAGTGGACCAAATCAGCATAGGAAAACTGCCTGTTCTATGTTCTACAATACCTCTATTACATTATATCTGTCATTAATATTTTTTTAAATTGCAAAGGAAAGGAGTTATTATGCACAGCTATAAAGAGAGATGACAGCTCACTGCTAAGGACCACCCATAAGAATGCCCCTTTTCACCATGGTAAGCTTGAAGACTATCATGGACCCCATCACATGATGTTTCGAGCAAAAATTACTGTCTTGGCTCTATTTTGGCTAAATCTCTCCCAGTGATTACAGATTTGCCCAATTTCCCGATTCCCCTGTAGTTCTGTGAAAGGGTGGAGGTGAAGGTGTCATCTAATAGCAGACATGACTCCCAGTAAATTTACAGTGGCTGCCTGTAAAATGGGGGGAGAGGGACAACTGTAAGTGTGATGATGTGGTAGCAGAAGTAGGGAAATGGATCCATTAATATCTTTAAGAACCCTACCCATAGGGTGAAGATTTAATAATTATGCCAAAGTCCATTCATGTTTATTGGCATCCAACACCAACAGAAGAAAAACTTTCTTTTCCTCCAACTCTCCCTTCAGTGATACCAAAAAACTGCTGATTGAGCGGGATCACTGAAGCTGATGGAAGTAATGCATCTTTCCAATTGGCTGCTGACTGATGTTTGTCTAATATTTCATTAGAAAATTGAAAATAACCACAGCCTGTCTCTAAAAGTAGCTTGACCCTCTTCTTCATTCTAGAGCATTTTGAGTTTTCTGGGATAATATCTGACAGAACATATGCACAATAGGGACTCATTTAACCACAGCATTATTCAACTTTCTAAATTGGGAAAAGCTACATTGCTATTTCTTAGTATTCACATTTCTTATTAAACAATGGTTTCTATCTTTTCAACTTATAATGAATGTATTAGCATCAGAGTATAACTGGTTTTCTGTGCAAATAAGGCATCCTATCTTTGCTTTGTGCATAACACTCTTCTTTTCAAGTTCATAGGCAATACTCTATCAAGACACTTGATCTGAGAAGACACATTCGGCCTTTAAGTGTTTTAGTGGTCTAGTTCTCTATAATGGCAAATTCAGGACCTGATTGCTACTCTGGTACTGATACTGCTTTAGTGAGATCCTGCTTCAGTAAAATCAACAAGCATACTGAATACTTCAGCATAACATATGCTTTCTTCATGGCATGCAAGTGTGTTGCCTGATGAAGGCACACATAGTATTTCCACAGTGATGTGCCAATAAAGCATGCTTCTGTTTTGAATCACTGTTCCATATAATTTGAAAATATGACAATGGAGACTTTTCAAACATTTCAACAATTTAAAAAGCTTATCACCAGAACATACTGATCATCTAGTTTCCCAAAACAGTAATGCATCTGAAGTGTCCCGTTCATTTAATAGTAAGTGTGTTAGAAAAGCAAGTTCTGATTTAATCCAATAGGTATGCATTGGCAGTAGAAAAAAAATGTGGTGACTTGTATTTCTGCAAGCAAATTAAAATCAACACAATCACATCAAGCCGCCAAAAGAGTATGCAAGTTATAAACTGATCTATAGTCATTATCTTAATAGTAAACTTCATTTTGAAATTTATGTAGTGAAGTATTGATTTAAATACTTTGCTCCAAAAAAAAATATTTTTCAACTTCTCTCTTTCTGTTTTTGTGAATTTTCCTTTTAATTCTCAGCCCCACCTTGATGGAAATTTTGATGAAGCATTTTCTGTTAGTCGTACCATTTTGAGATGCACTTTAATTTATAATTATTTTTTTGTAGGAAGGAGTAATGGCGTGTTTAGTACCAGGTGAAGGATACACACCCGAACCAGTGGAATATTACCACCTTACAGAAATCAGTGCTAAACTCAAAGCAGTCATCTCTGATGGAGATTTTGCGGCTGTTGATAATTCTTCTTTAGAAGTCCCAAGTCAGGTTTATCAGGTACAGTACAATTTGAGGTATGCTTTGAAATGTGAACAGTATTATTTAAGCAGGTTATTTTTTAGTGGATTTTATTAATGTTTCATATCTTCCTCTTGACTTCAAGTATAGAAAGTTGTTAATTGACTCAGTTAGATCAGCGGTTCTCAGATTTATGCTCCATGGAGCCTTTGGAGCTCAGTGAATCATCCTGAGGGCCTCCATGCTTTCCTCCCCCTTGCTCTAGTCCAGCCTGACCTTTGCATGCGCACGGCTGTTATGCCCTCCGGGCCCACAGTCTGGGCCTAGCTTCTTTGCTTCTCTCTTTCTTTGTCTATTCTTTTCCTCACAGCCTCACACCATTCTCATGGGAACATCACAAAGGAAGGAGCAGGGCTTCCCCTTCAGCAGAGAAGGAGAGAGGGGGAGAGGTGACCCTGCAAAGAGTCTTGGGGACAATCTTGGCTCTTTACAAGGTTAAGGTTGTGCAGTCCTGTTCTACAGCATCATGCTGCTCTTAACCTTAGCTCCTATTATTATTATTATTATTATTATTATTGCAAAGGCTTGAGTTTCTGCTGTTAATTATTATTATTATTATTATTATTGTTATTATTATTATTATTACAAAGGCCAGATGGCTATCTGTTGGGGTGCTTTGATTGTCCTTTTCCTGCATGACAGAAGTGAGTTGGATTGGATGGTTGCAGGAATTTCTGCTATTATTATTATTATTATTATTATTATTATTATTATTATTAAATATTATTATTAATTACAAAGACTGGATGGCCATCTGTTGGGGTACTTTGATTGTGCTTTTCCTGCAAGGCAGAAGTGGGTTGGACTGGATGGCCTCTGGGGTTTATACTATCATTATTATTAGGGTTCTGCAATTCGGCTGGAGGGCAATACATTTTTGGTATTCTAATTTCATTGGGTTCCCAGTTCCATTTTCAGGAGCCTCCCGAAAATCGGCTAATGAAAAACTGTTTTTGGCTAGGCAGCTGTAAGATCTGGGAAGGTCCATCCCATTTGCAGGAATGGGGAACTTACAAGGCTCCTCTTTCCATTCCTGGAACCCTTTCCTTCCTTCCTTTCTTTCTTTCTTTCTTTCTTTCTTTCTTTCTTTCTTTCTTTCTTTCTTTCTTGGATCTGGGTTTGAAGAACGGGGTTAAGAAAGCACCCCTCCTGGGACCCTTTCCTTTCTTTCTTTCTTTCTTTCTTTCTTTCTTTCTTTCTTTCAAGGGAGTCTGGGTTTGAAAAATGGGGTTAAGGAAGCACCCTTCTTGAGCTCCGTTTCTTCCTTTCGATGGAATGTTGTATTGTTCTTTCTTTTTTCTTTTGCACTACAAATGAAATATGTGCTGTGTTCAATTAGTTCACACAAACACTCTCCATCCATCTGCCACTGGTCTGGCCCATCTGTCAAATTTTAAAATGCAATGTTTCCAAAAGTTTGCCCATGCCTGATATATCTACATTATATATAAGATCATAAATAATATATAAACCTTTCTTTGGGCTCCAGAAGAAACTTTTGGTTTAAAAAGGGCTCCATGGCTGAAAAAGTTTGATAACTACTTCCATCCTGAAAGGAAGGGATTTGAGAGCTCCTACCTGTTTAACTTCTGGTGGGTTTTATACATCCCAGAAAACCTTGTACAATTGTAGTTATCAGCAACCATAACTTTGCGTGAGTTTCAGTTATGTTATGATTAAATTATATTTATTTCTGTGAATCTGAAGGGCCCACTGTATTGCAGGAGTTGTAGTTTAGCGAGGCACCCAGCACTCTTTGGCAGGCAAGGCTAAAGGCTTTGTAAAACTACAACTCCCATGACAATTAAAGTGGTGTCAAACTGCATTCATTTTACAGTGTAGATGCACCCTAAGTTTGAGAAAAAGACGTGTAAAAGATTATGCCTAACTTCTTTTAGCCATAAGGGCAAATAACGTCCTAATTATATGTTAACACATATTTTTTATTTTTTATTTTTAATAAAATTATATTGTCATAATAGGAGCAGGGCAGGAATTTGGTGTCTTGAACAAATTTGTGCTGCAAGCTTCTTTTTCAAGGCTACTTGTGGTTTGAGGGATTGATATTTTGGTGGACTGCAGTGCATTGAGATAACAATCAGGATTTTTAAAAAGTTCGTATTTCATTACTTTCATGCGATAAGACAGTTATTATTTCAACATTGCAACTATAATAAGTTAACTAATTTGGGATATTTTAGTTATAACTGTAATGAACTGCTTTTTTAAAAAAGTAGCTTTCCATCTCTGGTTAAAACCATAAAGGGCAATTGATTGCTATTAAGATTCCTAAGATAATGTAGCATGAACAAAAGGTTAATACAAACTACTTCAGTTCTTGACTTTCACACACTGTCATATTTTGGCAGACAAACAGCGGAACAATAATCAAAGGAAGTTTCCTCATATTATTCCAATGTCTTGGAATATGTCTGAAAGCAAAAGGCTAATTCTGCTGTGCTCCCTGGAGCCTCTGGACCTCAAAAGCTGTCACTGGTCCAGAACTGATTATTATCCTTACTTGGCATTGAGCCAGTTTGGCTTTATGGGAAAATGCCTTATTTTTGGAGAACGGAAGAAATGTTAGTTTAGAAGCCTAATTAAAAGAAAGTGGTTCAGACTACACTTCAGAAAGTCAGAATAAGATGTAGAAGTGTTTGCAGCACTGTGTGTTTGGGACTGTTAGAATGAAAGTGTATCATTGTTTGTAGGTGACTTAATATATTTGCAGGATTACATACACTCAGAATGCATTTAAAACACCGAACTGTGAAATCTGTTGTGCTGTTACATGAAGATTAACTTTTTTTGTTAATTTGGAAGTTAGCAGTAGCCTCAGCAGCAGCAGACATATCTCCCAACAAGTTTTGCAGCATAAGCAACTGCCTTTTGAAGTGAGGTGTTAAGCATTTTTGTGGTTAAGAATTAATAAATAGAAATAAATAAAGTTGATGAATAAAGAAATTCATTGTCAGAGGTCACACTGAGCCATCTAGAAATATAGTCCCCTTGTTGTATTTGAAGAATATGCAGTTTAATTTTGTGTATGTGAATGCAAACTCATATACCCTACCAACTGAGAATAAAGTATGTGTTTGAAGTCAAACCATAGTATGCCATAATCAGGGTATTTGCTTTTAAGGTACCACAAAATGTGTTTGTTTTTGCAGGCTGTTACAGCTAAGATCTGCTTAGAGCAGTGCTTTCCAAACTGTGTGTTGTGACACATTAGTGTGATAGTTGCAATGTGTAGGATTGTCACATGAACATAATAAGTATGTGAAATAAGCAAGAAATCACATATATTTAAAAATATAAATGAAAGGGTTGGTTTCATAAGATATGTTTTGTCCTCATACATTTATGTATGTGTCCGTATTCTTCTTAAAGGTTCGTTTTGTTGGAGATAGCAACCTTCTCAAGCCTCCTCTATTTGATGTTTGTCTGTTTATAATGTGTCATTTTATTTCCTGAAATGTATGTCTTATTTGGTTTGCATTTTCCTTAGCTCCATGTACTTGAGGCGGTGGGAGTGGATGCAGATCACATGGATGATCTGCAGGATGACAGTTGAAACAGGATGACAATTGAGCCTTGAGTCAGCTTGATGACAGCTGAGCCTGTTTTAATGATTGCTTGTGTATTGTTTAACTATGATTTGTGTCCAATTGTGATTTTATTATTTATTTATTTCCCATATTTGTATCCCATCACTTCTCAACCCCCAAAGGGGGACTCAGGACGGCTTACAATGTGCCTCGTTATGAGGCCGCTACATGACATAATTGTCATGTAGCGGCCTCGTAACGAGGCACATTGTAAGCCGTCCTGAGTCCCCCTTTGGGGGTTGAGAAGTGACGGGATACAAATACGGGAAATAAATAAATTGAGCCTTAAGTCTGTTTTTCAGTCAGATGTCAGTTTTCAGTCAGTGTAGGAAGTCGGAAAACTTTTGATGCTTGAATTCTTTGAAAGTAGACTGTTATGAAAGAGAACTGTGCAGAGCAATATAGTTTTTGAAGAGACCTTTAAAGGCAATAAATTAAAGAAACAAACTGAAATGTTTTAAAGTTTAACATGACAAGAAATATTCCTGTATATTTAAATACATGAAGTTATGAGTAAACAAACATGTTACTTTAAAAGAAGTCTGCTTGAATCTTTGTCTGCTGAAAGCATCGAATAGGAACAAGAAATCTATGTGTCCATTACTCAATAAACCGAAGGAACACTTCTGTAACTCTACAGGTCATAATCCATTATCCCAATAGATTTATTCTTTGGTTTGCTAGTAAAACTGAATTACTGTGTCATGAAATGATGCATTTCTGAAAATTGTGACACCAACTTGAAATGTTTGGAAAGCTCTGGCCTAGAGAATGGGCTAGTTTGCTTCCGATTTTCTTTATTCCTCATCACACCTGCTCAGTAACAGATTCTGGAGACAGCTGTTTACATTGCCAGCTGTATGTAAGCACATGTCAGCTACAATGCAATCACCTATAGTAGAATCTCATTGTTTTCCTGGTCAGGCTTTATTGCACTGTTAACTGCAGACATGCTGCTGAAGTCTGCTGTTCTCTAGCACTCTTTCACCATCCTCCCAATGCCAATGCTACAGCTAGTCTGAATACACAAAAAGAAGGCTGGGCTCCCTTAAAAAAGACTTTGCAAAAAGGAGCTTATTTGTCAGAAGCTTTGTGAACTGGGACATGGCTGTACTGAATTCCACAGCAATAGGAAACAGGAAAGCGATAGAAAGGAGGCTAAAATGAAAAAAAGAAAAGAAAAGGCACTCTCTTGAGTTCTGGTATGTGTCATTTGCATTGCCCTACAGTGAACTTTCTACACCGATTGCACATAATTGTTGTTTCTGAACAACCTGTGAAATACTGTGCTACTCCCAAGTTTGTGTATCCTGGCAACAGTTATCAAGTAGCGGAGAGAAATACTATCTCATGAATAAGGGCCAAGAAATG